GTGTCCCAACTTTTTTGGAATCGGGTTTGTAGATTAAAGTGATTATTACATTCTGAATATGAATATTTTTCTTACAAAAACACATTGATTCGCTACAGAAGGCCTTTGTTCACCCCCTGGAGCCATGTGAGACACTTATTTTAATGGATGGGTGCTTTTTATTTAACAACTTTTGGACTGATGCATGCAACACCTGCTGAGTGCAATGATAGAGTTTGGAATAGCCAGGACAATTTTGTTATATAACTCCGACTGGATTCGACTGAAAGAAGAAAGTCATATACACCTAGAATGACTTGAGGGTGAGTAATATATGGGCTAATTTTCATTTTTGGGTGAACTAACCCTTTAACCAAGACATGAGTCATATAAATTCATGTGTGAATAACAACCACTTTGACTACATGTTTGTTAGTTAATGTATTAATTAACACTTTGGTGTGCATTATCACATGAATTAACATGTATTAGTAAATGATTATTCATCTACTGTTATTGTAAAGTGTTTCTTCTTTATCTATTGCTAGAGGTTTTTTATGTTTAGTTTAATACATTTTAATAGTATTGCTGTTTATCAGGCTCTGTAAAATGGCCTTGGATTTTAGAAAGGCACTAAAAACGTTACGTAAAAATGTCATCAGTTAACTTTAAAGTAAACTGATATTGTAAAGGCTGTTGTATGTTAATGATTTTCTTTGTCTCGTTCAGATCAGGACGTGTGGTTATCTGCGTTTGAACACTGTAGTGGAAAAGCTCAGTCTCCAATCAACATAGACACTCATAAGGTTTTCTATGAGCCCAAACTCCCTCCCATTAAACTGGAGGGTTATGATCTAACTGGCTCACCTGCTCTTACCCTCATCAACAACGGACACACATGTGAGTCAAGCTCTTTCACACTAAACACAAGGTGTTACACAGAATCTCATGACTCATATGGAACTATCCACACTGGAGCATCACATTTCTGAAATGATAAACGGGGACATTTTTAGCTCGGCTGTCAGTAAAGTCCAATGTTATTATTTGTGAAATAAAAAACAAGGACAATTCCAGTTTTGTGTATTTTGACAGTCATAGGGGAGACCATTGCCAGGTCTCATTTTTTGTTAATCTCCTGTGGAACAAACATTAAGATAATACTATATGTACGTTGTAATTCTTTTTGCAACACTTTATTTTATGCTAATATTTTTACTTGATCAGCATGCATATTACTAGCATATTGGTTATATATTAGTACTTATAAAGCACATATTAATGCCTTATTCTGCATGACCATATTCTAGATCCCTTAATCCACCCCATATCTAAATTTAACCACAACCATACTAATATGAACATTTTTGTGAATCCTGCTTCAGAGGAAACAATTAATGAAGTTAAAGCGTTTCTTCACTAAATTATGAAAAACCATGTTTTTTTCTAAAATGTACAAAATCATACTTTGGGATGCAGTGGAATAAACGTTTGAGATCCTTGACAAACGTGCTTATATATAGTAGCAGAGTAAAAATACTTTGTTGCTATCCACAACTGTGGAAACATGGGCACTGTTTTCATGTGGGCCTGCTGATATGAGACACACAGCGTACTATAATGAGAGCGACGATGAACATCTGGAAGCATATGACTTTAAACAGCTCTCAGGGTCATGTAGAGCAGTGTCCTCCAAGCCTGCTGCTCGAACCCAGGGCTCAGAAACACTGATATAGAGCTCACGCTTCAGACTGGCTCATAGACACTCTCAGGCATCACTGGCATCTCGCAGCTGAAGGAAGATCATGTCAAGTGTGTGTGTGTCATCATGTCTTACGTGTGCAGAGAGCATTGAGGCTGTGTAGTGATCCTCCAGATGAGAAGAACGCCCAGACGCCCATCAGCAGCGTAATGACGTACACAGGAGGAAGACTGCCTTCATACAGCGGATTTAGCAGCGACTGACAGATGGGAAGAGAGAAAATGTCAGATTTGTGCTTTTTAAGACTAGTAGTAGACACTAAGTGATGCATCCCATAATAAAACTGGAGACCAAATTGGACCTGGACTGGACACATTTAATATTTGAGACGTGTGGTAATATAAGATGTAAACAGGGTTATAAAAAGCAATCACTGAGCAATAACATTTCCTGGGGAAAGTTTATGTACACAAATAACCCGAGCTGTGCGTATGAAACCGAAACGCAGTCACACTCCTGTAACATCACGATGGTTTCTGTGCTACTCTGGTAATGTGAAGCTCTGCTGCTGCATCCAGATGAAACATCAGACATCCGAGCAAGCTTTCTAAAACAGCACTACCGGGTAATACCAGAGTGTGTATCAAATGCCTGGTGTAACTTTATACCAACACAAGCTACAGGCGCGAAGCTTGTCATGAAGCGATGAAGATCTCTAATGAATTTATTTACCAAGTTTATGAACACTACAGTTCAAAAGTTATGGATCTGGAAGATTTTTTTTACGTTTCTGAAAGAAGCCTCTTCTGCTCACCAAGGCTGCATTTGTTTGATCAAAATTACAGTAAAAACAGTAACATTGTGAAAATTATTAGTTTTCTATTTTAATATAATTTAAAATGTAACGACGCAAAGTTGAATACTCCAGTGTCACATGATCCTTCAGAAATCATTCTGATTTGCTGCACAAGAAACATTTCTGATTATTATCAATGTTGAAAACATTTTTGCTACATATCTTTTTTTCAGGATTCTTTGATGAATAGAAAGTTCAAAAGAATAGCATTTATTTAAAATAGAATTTTCGCAAACAATGTAAAATTCTTTACTGCCACTTTTGATCAATTTAATGTATCAGTGTTGAATGAAAGTATCAAGTATTATCTCTCGCCATTAGTGTGCTGGTAAAGTCAGAAATAGTTGAGTCACAGATAAATTAGACTAATTAAAAATCAATTCTCAAGTTAAAATTGTTAGAGACACCATGAATACAGTTTATAGGCCTACAAGAAGAAATAATTTGTCACAAAATGATAAAGTAAACTCTGGTGCACGGGATTGTTTTTTTTTATGTGCCGGATAATACAGGCATTTGCACAGCGGCTCAGAGATCGTTCTGACAGAATCAAACATACATCATGGAGGTTCAGCATGAGGGAAAATAAATCTCTGCTAACACAGTTACCAATGCATTCCCCATGAAAAACATCAAGAGGCAACAAAAAAGCATGCCTGGAAGTTGTTCAATGTTTTTCTAAAGGTCAACGGATAAAATATTAATTTAAAGCAAATGCAAAAAAAAAGCAACAAAAACAAAATAAATTAGTCAACTTTCTTTGCAGTAAGTATAACCCCCATGCATAAGGAAACACGCATATAGAGTGAAGTGTCCTGTGAGTGATTTATAAATGAAACCTGAAATGACTTGAACTTCAAAGTCTTTTACCGTCAGTTCACATCAGAGACATGTTGACATGTGAAGGATGCATGTGTGTTCATGTAAAGCTCACCAGGCCAGCGACTAACAAGTGTAGAGAGACGACTGCAGCGATGACCCACCAGCAGCTCTTCTCACAGCCCTCAAAGAACAGCACACCCCAAAACGTGTGCAGCAGCGTCAGCGCCAGCGTCATCAGCGCTGCGGACATCAACACACAAGCCTCAACATCAGTGCTGCTCATGCTTCAGCACTCCAGGGTATTCCAGTAAGACCTCACCTCTCATCTTTTGGATTAATGATGAGGATTTAAGATTTGTTTTCACCCGACAAAATATTTTAGAGCTTGGCATATCTAGAAAAACGTACATTCTCTATAAAAATGTCCACGGAGTTATAAGATTTTACATGATTTGACTAAATCCAGAAATCACACTTTAAAATAGTTTAAAATGAAAGCCATTTAAAGTCATCTTGAGGCCCACGGTTCAGAGCACGGCCATTAAAGCAAGGGATCCAAAACTCTATGCATTTCTTTCTTGTAGCTTTTTTTCTACAAAAGAAAGAAATGCATCCAGGTTTGAATGACATGAGAGTAAATTAAGACAGAATTTTTGATGATCATTTGTATCCCTTTAATAAATAATAACAGATCCTTTTGGACTAATGAATTTTCATGCATTTTTCATGACTTTCCCAGTCGCACTAAAGAACTTTTACATTATTATTATTATTTTATTAATTTATTTATTTCCCCCCCAAAAGGACTGCACTCTCAAACAGCAATTCCTAGTCAATATTTCAGAAATGAGCATAACTAGAACAATTCCAATGACTTTCCAGGTCTGGAAACCACAATTTTAAAATTTCCTGATATTTCCAGGTTTTTCATAACTGTGGGAACCCTGTTATTATGAACAGTAAAAAAACTATATAGCAGTGTAGTAATATATAAGAATATATAAATTAAAAACAACAGAACAGACTGGAGACCAAAATTAAACAGACAAATTTAGTCGTTTTGTTCTTGTATTCATTCTTAATTTTTATGTATATATAAATGTTATTGTTTTTAATATATATATATATATATATATAAAATTTTGTTTCAGTTTTGGTTATTTTAGTACAATAAGATAAACTAAATGAAAATGAGAAATGCTGCCTTGGCAACAAGCTGAAATTAAAGTTTGAATTAGTTTATTTATTTTAATATTATATTTCATATAACTAAAATGTTTTACGTTTTTGTTAACTATAATAACCCTGGGTGACAGAAGGATGTTTCTGCCCATGATAGTGACATTTTAAATCAGCTCATTTGAGGATTATAAACATGACATTTGAATGATAATATTTAAAAACTGGAACAATCAAGAACAAAATATTGTAAGAAATGTAATAATGTAACATACAGGTGTTTCTCATAAAAGTAGAACCTAACAACACGACCTTTACTCTGTCACAAAAAAGCACCCGTCTCATATGTTTGTCCAGATTAAAATATGAAAGTAGCGTTGTGTTTTTCACAAAAGTGAGTGTTTTGTAAATCACTTGGTCCCAGCGATCATTAAAATAGAATATACATCTTTCCCCAGCAGCAGGACTGGTTTCGTGTCACTTGTCATGTGCTGACGTAAAAACAGCACATCTAAAGGTTTAAGATTAAGAAATTGTCCGGATGGCCCATGAGGCTTTGCAGGAGCTCACCTGCTGTAATGAAGTAATACTGTGAGTCTCCAAAGATGCCCACCGTCCCGGGACCCAGAGAGTCAGACAGTATGTTGATCATTGAGAACGCTCCACTCATGATCCCAAAGCCCAGCCCAGCCACTGCACACGAAACACACACAGACATCTGATCAAACCTGCCATCCAGTGATCCTGAGTGCAACATGAAACACAACAACAGCAAGCTGTTTTCAGCTGAGCACAGACAGAGTTTACCGTAAGCCATCTGTCGCACCGAAATAGCTGAACCGTCATCATCACTAATGGCTGCCAGACCCTCGGTGGCCTTCCTGATGATTCAACACAAGAGTTCAAAATTAATCACGGTTTCAAAGATTCCGGTGCTTGATTCTGATTGGCTGAGCCGCGTTCAAAGCTGTTGAGCTGTTTTCAGCTGAGCACAGACAGAGTTTACCGTAAGCCATCTGTCGCACCGAAATAGCTGAACCGTCATCATCACTAATGGCTGCCAGACCCTCGGTGGCCTTCCTGATGATTCAACACAAGAGTTCAAAATTAATCACGGTTTCAAAGATTCCGGTGCTTGATTCTGATTGGCTGAGCCGCGTTCAAAGCTGTTGTAAATTACTCTACAAACACACAAAATTATGTTTTCATGCATTTTTGGGCTATTTTGCTTCCATAGCATGACTAATGAAAAGAAAACAACATCTGCAGTCAGAAATCCCATCCATCGAGCGGGGGAACTATGACGCCCCTCCGCAGGCGGCTCGGCTGTTAGCATCGCACTGGTGCCCTCCACAAAAACCCTACAGCATTTTTCCATAGGCTTTTGGATTATCGCATAAAAAAAGGCTCTGTGTTCAACCATAGTGCATGAAACTTACACGTTTTGTCCATCAAGATAATCTTCACAAAGTAATATAACTGATGAATTTAGAAGCCTAAATAAAAGCACCAGAACTTAAGAGCTAATCTAACTACACCTCCACGGTCGCGCGCCTTCAGCGTCACCAACACCTGCTTCCCACAACTTCTCTAACTTATTTTTAATGTAGTCAGTGAAAAGGATTTACTCTGTATATGAATTTTAATCCACGCTACATGAACCTTTTCATATAAACTGGAATAAATACAAAACTAGAGCCAAACTAAAACTGAAATGAGACATTAATAATAAATAGTATAGTGAATAAATTAAATAATCAACTAGGGGACATATGAAAGCACGTATTTCTGTAAGGTGCATCAAGAGTCAATAAATCCTTGATTAATATGAATATTTTAATGAAAAACGTGTCTCCACGAACTATTCAGTACAATTCTAGTGCATTTAATCTATTAAATAACAGCAGAGTGAGCGAGTTTTCGGATATGGTAAGATGAAACTCATTTTAGTGAATAAAGTACCACATTTCAACTTTAAGTTACACAAAATGTTATTTTATCCTTGCTTCTAGAAAGTCCTCAATCTATGTGCTCCGTAACTGCTTCATGTGGCCGTAAACATTTTAATTTAACGTGGCTTTAAGCACTACGCATCGTTAAAGCTTCACTTTCACCGTGAATAAGCCGGTAAATGTGCTGTTTACATGGAATAATCGTAATACGAGTTTACTTTATAAACCTAGAGTCTCCGCATCAGTAGAAAGCGATAAAACGAGCATCTTCCATCCGAACACTTGTGTTGCATTTCAGGGCAAAACAAAAAACATCGTCGACCAACAATATAAAATGCGGGAAACTATTAATTGGTTATTCTACAATTACCGTATTGACCCGAATATAAGACGATGTTTTTTTCTTGGAAATGCATCTGAAAAAACGCGGTGGTCTTATATTCAGGGTCTAGAGTTTGACGTGTCAATAATACAGCAGCAACAATAGGTGGCGCCAAATACACATAAAACCAGAGTGCCGTGAAATACGTAATGTAATGCGTGTTGTAAAGATCGCGAGTAAAAACTAAAGAGAAAGAAAAGTTTACAGCTGCATGAGTCGTGACTGATGGAACCAAACTCTCTTTGTGATTTTAAAACGTAAGACAGAACCCAGATTTGAAGACTACGGTAAGATTTAACTTCTACTGTTAATGAGATTGTGGTAGGCTACTATTAGATGGATAGCCTAAATGTCCGAATTCAGATGCGCTACCTGTTTTGTTTAATGGTATATCAAAAAGTGTATATTTTTTATGTGATTGTTGGTACGTTTTACCAGTTTTTACCATACTTTCAAAACTAACATTTAAATAGGAAAAATATGCAATATGAAAATAATTGAAGACAAAACGTGATTTACTGAGAAAAAAACAGATTTGGTTTTTAAAAAGCCTTTTCCCAAAAGGTACATCTGGAAAAGGGGGGGTCGTCTTATATTCGGGCCAATACGGTAATTGTATTATAAATTATACTACGACTGGAAATTACTGTAAACTGATGAACTGTTCGGCGTGATGACGTTGAATGTCTCCGACAGCGCCTGCAGTCCCATTTAGCAACTTATTAGCAGCCGTCTTTTTTAAGAAACGTAACCATTTTTTAAAAAATCACGAGTGGGGTGTGTTTTATGTCGTAGAATAAAACGTGAAAGTATCTTGAGCCTGTGTGAACCACGGACCTTATTTTAGGGATTTAACCAAAATCCCATTCAGAAAACCCACTGACTCGGGGACGACGGAACCGGAAGCGCTAAAATACTAACCGGCTTCATAGTGACTTCAGAATATAGTTCCACCACTCTATATTCTGACGGTTTTATTCACATATCATCCATCTGTTTTATACAACATTTCATGCCTAAAAACATGGGGAAAGTGTATTGTTTTTTGACTGTTGTATTTTCTGTCTGTTTCTCAGTATTTCAAACTCTAATGCGTCAACAAATTTTTTGGACTTGATGGTATCCAATGTTCAGATTTCTGTTCTGGAAAAGCATGCAAATTACCGCCCGTTTATTTAGGCACTGCCTCAACAGTTCAGAGAAGTTTCTAATGGAAAATAGCTTGTGCATTTATAATGCTGCAATCATCAGGTTTGGCACGGAGGGTTTCTTATCATGCGTGTGGTGCCATAAAGAGTCTCACCTGAGCAGTCTGTAGTAGGCGAAGCGAAACACTTCCTGGAGCAAGACCGAAAAGAAGACCCCGAACATCAGCAGCCCCCTCTGAAGGGTGAGATCCTGTGAGTTACTGGCCTTTATAGCGATGAACCACACCAGAGAGGACAACAGCAGAGACAGCAGCCAGAAAAACGCCCTGAAACACACAAACACAAGCACCATCTGCTGACACGCTCCTCTTCCAGCTCATCTAAACAGCCTGCTTTACAAGAACTTTACAAGACAGGGACACTTCACTTGAATGAACACTCAAAGAGAAATGTCATGGAAATCAGGCTTGTTTTTAAAAGTCTGAATGTTCATCTTGATTTGTTAAAGACTATATAAAGACAGTTAACATGTTCTCCACTGTCCACCTTACTACATGACTGTCTCTTACACTGTAACAGTACAGTGGAGCCCCCAGTAACACCATGCGATGTTCTATGAGCCTGAATAATTCATGTATGAATGCATGGTGTGTTTGATTAATGCATTGTGTGTTGTGTGTTTGATTAATGTGTTTAGGGTGTTAGTGAGATTCGATCACGTGACTCACCCTGCGATCAGAATGATGACTCTTAACGGGTCTTTGGCGACGGTGAACACAAACAGGGCGAAAGCTGGACCGAACGCTATGAAAGCACAGCCAAAGAACACTGCCAGAGTCATTCTGGACGAACAGCTTTCTCTGTGATGCTCGGCTGCTGTCCGGTTAGATAACGAGCAACTATCGGGCTCTAGCAGAAACACTTCAAACGCACAGCACTGCTGAGAAAGCAAACACGAGCAATGCTAGAAGATAATACACACACATTCACTTAATTCTCCACAAAATAGAGATAGTTTAAATCTGATATTCTCATTTGCAGCGGCGCAATACAGACGAAGCACAGTGTTCTCATTTACAGACAAATAAAGGACCGATCCATCAAAGCTAATCCATCCGATTACATTCGCGCGGTTTATGCCGTTCTTCTGTGAGCGCTTTGTTTGGTAACATTTTCAAACTTAATATTCAGTTTCTATTTCCCGAATAAAAAAACACACGCGACACTTCCGAGGGCTTTTGTTTGGTTTAAAATGATTGGCTTGCGCTTCCGGGTTTACGTATGGACAGCCAAACACACCAAAAGTGGGACGAAACAGCGCGGTATTAAAGGGGTCATAGGATGCTATTTTAAAGATCATTATTTTGTGTATTTGGTGTAACAGAATATGTTGACATGCTTTAATGTTCAAAAAACACATTATTTTTCAAATA